TCGCAGACCGAGCCAAGAGACCTTGAGGAAAGTGGTGCACCTGCCTTTGAGCCTGGTGAGAACAGAAACTGCTTCTGGAGGGTTGAAGAAAATCTGGCCATGTGCTTCTGCCAATTTCTAGGCCCTCTCCTGGGCTGGAAGGGAAACCTTGGGATTGAGGAGCACCTGGAATGGGATCCCCAAACAGCAAGCCTTCTGACAACTGTTTTGATGTTACTGAGCTCGATACACTGGCAGCTAGTGGGAGAGGAGCTGTGTAACAAAGGTGCTCAAGTGGTGCTCAAAGCCCTGACTGTGTGTTCTGATGAGCTGGCAGTCACTGCAGCTGCCTTAGCGGAGAGTGGCCAGCTGAGTTTGGGATCTCCCAAGCTGGATGAAGATGAGGGAAGCCTGTGATTAGGTGTGCCCCATCCTTCAAGGAACCAACCTACAGGATGGTACCATGAAATTGGTATCCCCTCTAGTGTTGGTTGGGGTTATTTTTTTGCCCTGTGTGCTAAACAATCCCCTGTATGGAATGACGAATCTGTTGATGTGAACATCCTGTTGTCATCCAACAGATGCTGTTACTATCCAACAGAAGTTTGGAGGAGCTCAGCTGCTCTTCCTCCTTTTTTGTCCCTTCAGAGGGACAGGGCTGGCAATGCTCCTGTGGACTGTTGAGGGAAAGCTTGAGTGGAATGTTACACACATTCCTAAAAAAAGAGACTGAGGGCACAGTGAATCCAACCACAGCCTGTTCTAGAGTGGCAGCCTACGTAATTCCTTAGTAATCTCTGATCTTGACTCTTTTTTCTTTTTTGCCTGGTGAAGAAGTGATAGATCTCACAGGTGACGACATCATAGATCTCACAGGTGAATCTTCTGAGGCTGAAGTCATCACTATCAGTGACAATGAGTCTCCTGTGGTAAGTAGTGAAGGGCACACTCCTCTCCATCTTCCTTTCAAATTAGTTTGCTTGCCTGTCTTCTGGAACATTACTGAGGACTCTGGCCTCAAAGGTTGAAAGAAGGCTCTGATTTATCACTTTAGACACAGTTCCCAGTCAGCCCTAAACACACTCCTGAACACATCAGCATGCCTGAGAAGTGCTTGCAGAGTGTGGGTGAACATCCTAAAAGAGGTTGTTGCTTCCATGATTTAAAGGAGAGCACAGGAAGTCTTTGACTTCCCAAGTAAGAAGTTGTTTTACCTGCAACATCAGTATAAGGAATCTCATTCATTGAGCTGTAAAAGGCAACTGCAGCTGACTGGGCTATGCATTAATTTGGTTTCTTATTCCAAGAAGTCTTTCAAAGGTTCACATTTGGCATTTTTTCATTTTTCCCCTACTATCTTAAAAGAATATGCTTGGATCCAGCCCACAGTGCAGTGTGTCAGCTCAAATTTGGGATGCCAGTGCTGCTGTGCAAAACAGAAACATGCAGCAAACAGCAGGGGAGTTTTATCCTGACCTGGCTGTTCCTGAACTTTTGCAAAGAAAAGGCCTCAAATTTCACCACACTATTTTCAAGACCCAGCTCCACGTGCACCAAACACAAGAGCACGTTTGGGTATGGGGTTTTTCCTCCTCAGTAGTTGTTCACATGCTAAGAAGTGTTTAGGCTATTACAGGTGAAATTGCCATTTTGGGGGAGAAAGAGAGGAAGAAATGGCTCCAGCCGAAATCCAATTAGGGAACTGAAAAAGGGAAGCAGGGAGTAAGTAGAGTGTTCAGGTGGTCCCTTAAGTGCCTCCATTTCTACCCCATTTCAGGACAGGGAGCAGAGCCAGCAGCAGCCTCATCTTTCCAGAGCATCAGAGAATTCTGTTGAGCCACTGGCAAGGAATGATGAAGAGAAACCAATAGAAGATGATGGGTATGTGAAAGTGTCTATCAAAACAGTAATTTCAGATAAGTGGTTGAAAGAGGTTTTTGCCAAGCTTTTGGGTTCTGCCAAGCTCTGTGCAAGTACTTCAGACCTGGAATGTAGTGGTCTGCCTGGAAGAGAATTGAAATAAACCCAGCAAAATCCAGCAGAAGCCTTTTCTTCTGTGTTTGTGAAGCCTTGGCTTCTTAGATGCTATCCATCTAACAGTGAATGTAAGAGAATGGCTGGCCACACTGAAATGCTTGCCGTCCATAAAAATTCTTGGAATGATTGTATTTCTGGGCTGGCATGATGCTGAATCAGAATAGGGGATGTTTTAAATGCCAACATTTTCTTTGTTGGTAATCTTTGGTGCCCAGTGAAATTTTTCTCACCGTATTTAAATGGCTGCTTCTCCCCGTTAGTGCATGGGCAGCAGGTCCTGCTTGTCCTCCGATGAGGGAGGGTGACAGCTCTCAGGTGCAGGACAGGGAGCAGAGCCAGCAGCACCCACTTGGCTCCAGAGAGGCAGAGAGTTCAGCTGAGCTGCAGGGGAGCGACAACGAAGAGGAACCAAGAGATAACAATGAGTATGTGACTGATGGAGAGTCTCTCCAAAGTGTAATTTCTGATATATGGTAGACACAGGATTTTTTCCAATCTTTTGGGTTCTACTTGATTCTGTTTGGAGAATTCCTAATTGAATGTAGTGGCCTATCTAGAAGAGAAATAACAGTAAGAAAACCCCTAAAAACCAGCAAAATCCTGTGGAAACCTTTCTTCTCCATTCTGGAAGTCATTAATCAATGTTTCTTACATTGTGGTTGCACTGCAATACTTCCAGTACATAACAGCTCTTGCAGTGACTGTGCTTTTGCGTTGGGATGTTGCTTAATTAGAATAAGGGGTTGTTTCAATTTTTGCAATTGTATGTCTTGGAAGCCCTGTTTGCACTGTGAAATTGACAGCTGCATGTTCTTCTGGTTCTGCTCCCTCTAGTGCATGGACAGCACGTGTCATTAGTCCTCCAATTTGTGAGAATGACAATGCAGAGGTGAGGATCCACAGCCCTTGCTGGGAGGCTCCAACTTGCACATCCCTCCAAGTCCTTTCTTGATGGTGTCCATAGAGGGAGAAGCCGTTTCCAGGATGACACTGGCCGATCTGTGTGTTCCTATAGTTCTATAGCATTGAGTGACAGACTACACATAGTCCAAGTCCTGTTTGCCTGGTGCCAATAGAGCAGCAAACAGAATTCTGTGCTACAAATTCTTATTGTGGTTTCTACTTTTTAGCCGTTGTCTATCTAACACAAAGGGTTTAGACTAATCATTTGGCCTTTTGGGGAAGAAAGAGGGAAAGAAAATACTCCAGGCCACATCAACTTAGGGAACTGATACAGGAGAGCAAGTTGTTTAGGAATATTCAGGCAGCTCCTAATCTGTCTCCATTTTTACCCCATTGCTGGGAGCAGAGCCAGCAAGACCCACTTGGTTCCAGAGAAGCAGAAAATGCAGCTGAAGTACTGGCGAATGACAGTGAAGAGGAACTGGAAGATATTGAACTGTATGTGACAGATAAAGTGTGCCTTCAAAGTCTAATTTCTGATACATGGTAGAAACAGGTTTCTGCCAAGCTTTATGGTTTTTCTTCCCTGTTCCTGAACTCCTAATTAAATCTATCTTTCAGTAACACTTTAGTAACGCTGAAGAGGGTACTCTTCAGTACTTTTATGTACTTTTATGAAGTACATAAAACTAATTGAAAGGGGGCTGTAATGTTTCTAAATCAGAATAAGGGGTGTTTTACTTTTTGGCATTTCTGTATCAGTAACCTGTCATGAATGGTGAAATTAATGGCTGCATGTTCTTTCTGCACCTGTTCTCTATAACACAAGGCCCTCTGGTAGTCTCCTCTGCGTGATTTGCATGAGCTGCTACTCACAGGTAAGGATCCACATGTTCTTGTCCTGTCAGATTAGTGCGAGGGGAAGGAACAAAAAGGGGAGCTGCCCAACTCACCTGTTTGAAGTGGGTGCCACGGGCAGCTGGCTGGAAGCACAGCCCTTGCTGGGAGGCTCCAACTTGAACATCCCTCCAAATGCCTCCTTGGTGGTGTTCACAGAGGGAGAAGCCCTTGCCAGCAATGGCACTGGCAGATCTGTGTGTTCCTTGTAATTCTAGCATTGACTGATAGAATTCTTTACTCACAAATTTCTGTTATGGCTTCATTCGTTCAGCAGCCATACAGCTAACATGAAGTGTTAAGGTTACCATCGCAGAATTTGCCAGTTTTGGGGAGAACAAGGGAAAGAAACAGATCCAGGTCAAATCTGGATAGGGAACAGGAACAGGGGACCAGGGAGGAGGGTGTTCAGGGGGTTCCTAAGTTGCCTCTGTTTTCTACCTTGTTGCAGCAATGAGAGCAGAATCAGCAGCACCCGCTTCTTTGTTTTTCAGGGCAGCAGCTCTTTGTGCTACTGCTTTGAATGCTCTTAACCAAACATAGAGGGTGGTACCCTACCTACCCTTGCTCACCTCCCCTGCTGTAACTGCTTTCTGCATTGAGGCTTGTGTGAAGCACCAGTGACCTCACCAAATCTAATTGTATCTTCTTTTCTCTCCCTTCCCATATATTCCCTTCCCATCAATGGAAGCTTCTTGAAGGTGAGTTGATGTTTTACAGTTGGTAATGTACTTTTATCTAAAAGGTAATAGTTATTTTTGGTGTTCTCTTGCAAGAAAGTCGAGCAGCAGGGATTGAAACTGCATTTTGGCAAAAGGCAAAGCACAGGGCTAAAGCCTCTGGCCAGTGTCTCAGAGAACAGATGCAATGTGCGTGTGATGGCCTCTGTCAGTCACAGTGGGAAATCCCTGCAAGAAAAGTGGTAGCTGGACACTTATGCAGAAGGAACTTTATTGTGGTAACACTCTCTGCAATTTTAACTGATTGGTGTTTGATTAGTGTGACATGGACACTGGAGTTGCAGGGGTCATCGTTGCCTGAGGTGTCTGAGACTGAAAGAGCAAACAGGATTTCTTCACCCTTTGGCTGTTACAGGCCAGGCCATTAGAAATGGGTCTCCCTGTAACTTGGTCAATATGTTGTGCACAACAAATGGACTTGTTGCTGGGGTGCAACAGGTAAATATGATACACTTGAGAGAGACATTGGTTGTTTGTTTCAGTGTTTCACCAGTCTGGGTGCTCAGTGATATTTCACAGATCAGACACACCCACTATCAAAATAACTTATATTATTCATAATTTAAACAAACAAGAAACTAGCTGTAATTGGTTGCAAGTGACAAGGTTATCCTCTTAGCTAGTATTCTGTCTTCTTTTGGTTAGTGATTGTCTCACTTCTCACTGTAATTAGTCCACTCCGTGCATTGCTCAGTCTCCCTCTTCTTTTGGGCTGGGGAGTTTCTTGAGTTGTTGTTCCATGAGTTGGTGGTCACAATCTCCCCCTGCAGGAATTACTATTTACCAGTCAGATCTGATGTCAGGAGAGTTGGATTTCTTAGTTTCTTCCTTATCTTGGGAGTTGTGCCAGATGTCCAAGTGGCCCCTCAATTCTGCATCCTTTGTGTCCACTTTCAGTGGGCATCCTTCTCCCCAAGCTTTGTTAAGCCTTCCCTGGGTCTGAGCTCCTCGAAGCATGTCAAGCTCTGAACCTTAACAAGGCAATTCTACCAACAAGGAATTTGCCCATGGGCATCACTTAGATCGTGTTTGTGAGTTGTTGTCTCTTTAATGGAGTAAATCTCCCTTCCAGTTGATTTGGCTTGAAACTGTACAATGATCTAACATGAATATAAAGAGCATCCTTCCTTCAGAAATCTTTTACATATTCTGCATTTTGCATCACATGTAACTTATGAAAATTAAATTACAGTTTATCGACAGCAAAGGAGAAAGGCCACCCTGAAGAGACATGGACAGGTGGATGGCTCTGGTAATGGAACAGGAGCTAATGATGCACCTGAGGCTGACTCAGCCCCTGCAGAACAGGGAGCAGCAGTGGCGGGAACTTCACTTTCAGAGTATGTATGCCTCATGCCCTATCAAATGTGAAATTTTTCACCTTTTTTTGTTTTCTGCATAGGACTAAGTTAAACTGCTATGCCTTGTTTATCTTTGAGGCCTTCCCATACACTATGGATTTCCCTCCTTCTCCCATGTTGTATGATGATCAAATGATACCATTTGCATTTTGGGAGAAAAAGGCAGCCCAGAGCAGATGTACAACTTTGCACAGAACCTGAGTGATGAGTGTGGGGGTATGGCAAGGAAGGGGGATTACTTGCATCAAATCCCAGAGCTTGGTGACTGACTACATCTTTCTTCTAGTGAAACCAGGATACCTCAGGACAGGGAGACCCCAAATCCTCATTAAATGCAGCACACAGAGACTTAAAGACAGCAGGGTCCTTCAGAGGAGATGTGTCATGGCTTGTCAGTGCAGTTGCATGATTGTGTGAGATTTTATGTATCAATAACCATTGAAGTGTGCTGATCTTAAAAGCTGCGTGTTCTTTCTACTTCTGTTTCCTCTAGTGCACAGCAAGGAGTTGTCATTAGTTGTCCCATTTGCATGGATTCTTACTCAGAGGTAAGGATCCACCTGTGATGGTCCTTTCTGCTTTGTGGGAGGAGAAAGCCAGAAGGGGAGCTGCACAAGTCAGTTGGGTGATGTGGGGTGCTGTGGTCAGCTGGCTGGAAGCACAGCCCTTGCTGTGAAGCTCCGCAAGTCACTTCTTGGTGAAGTGAAACTGGCAGATCTGGTAGTCCCTTGTAATTTTTACTCCAGATGCTTTAAATCTCATTTGCCTGGTGCTAATAGAGCAGCAAAATCAAATTCTTTCTTCTCAATACATGTGATTTTCTTTCCTCTAGATTTTGCAAAGTGGACGACTGATTGTGGCAACCATGTGTGGCCATGTCTTCTGCAGCGAGTGCCTCCCTGTTGCCGTGGAGACTATCGGCGTGTGCCCAACCTGCAGGGTGGAACTTACTCCAGATCTGTACCATCCCATTTATATATGAGTGCTTCTGCTTCTCAGGACCGACTCAGATGGATCTTGGACTATAGGGAGTGTAGATACTTGTTTCTTTATGTATATAGTTCTTCCTGTATATAGTTTCATTTTTGATCAATTCATTGTTAAATAAAGTTTTGAATAGTTGAAATATAGTCTGTCTGCTCTTCTCTGTTGGACTGTGCTGATAGGCAGAGATGTTGTCTAACAGGTGGAAATAAGGCTCTTGTTGGAGCAGTCAGAAGCTCATTCTTTTCCTCTCCCTGTAGTCATTGATTTGGGGACAATGTGCTAAAGCCACAAGCTTTGTAGTTCTTGTGGCCAGCGTGTGTTGTACGGGGAAAAAGAAACAGAGCCTGCTTGAGGTGAGAGGGATCCGATTGCTCAGGGCAGACTCTGGTGCACGCTTTGGTGAACGTGTCCTGATTTCATTGCTCAGAAGATAGAAAGAGTAGCAGGTTGTACACACATCCAAAGAGAGCAAGGTTCTTTGAGAATGACTGGTACATTAACAAACTGCTGCTTTGAGTGTTGTAAGGTTTCATTAGGATTAGAATCTGGAGGCTTTTGAAGGAATGTGTTTTTGAATGCATGTAATTGGTTACTGACTTTGAGCTGTTGGCAGTACAAGTGTGTTGTAGCTCCAGTTCCTTCAATGACAGCTGTACCATCCTAAGTTCCACTGAAGAGAAATGCAATTGTCCAGAGAGAAATTAATGGGACATAAGAGAGGAAAGAAAATTATTTTGTTATGCAAAAGTAATAAAGAAGGAAAGGCAGACCTCAGCTAAAAAATGCAACTGTAATTTCATTGTACCAGGAAACAGAAAACCGAAAACGAAACTTTCAGCTTTGTCTTGAAGACAAATTTTTTATGTCTTTCTCAGTTTTGGTGTTTTATTCCTTTGGATTTCTGTAATTTTGTTCACCTTTAAACAGTAGCATCTCAAAGGCCTTGGCTGGACTCCCATCACAGGCCTATAATTTTGTAATGGTTAGGGAATGATAGGTCAAGTGTTCTGAAAATGATATTGCAGATATGACGAATGATGCAAAAAATTCTCCGTTAAGATGCCCTCCTGTCATTTGCCCAGGGGTGGAAATGAGAGTGACCTCCATGTAGGTCGCTTGAGTTGTGCTTCAGGCTGAAAGATTTACCTTTCTGAAATTACTGGGAAACCATCCCAAGCTTCACAACCTTTCAGACAATAAGCAGCAGCCTCATGATGATGCCAGCCAGCTCTTCCAGGACTCTCAGATGGGTCCTATTTACTTCTATGGACTTGTATGAGTTCAAGAACTACACTCAAGTAGAGAAAGAGAGGCTGTGGCTGTGGAAGATAGGAAATGGCAAACATGGAGGAAATGGGTAAGTTTTTGACCTCTGATATAAACATGGATAAGTCTAAATGTCATTTTAAACTTGGATAAGAAAAAAAAAACACATTAAAAACCCATCTAGTAGCTACCCTACCAATATTTTCAATGTTTAACCTGTATTCCCCAGATAGGTGGGATAGTTCTGGTGCAGGCATGTGGAGAGGAGCAGTGGGGTATAAATGTACAGAGATAAGGGTGTGCTGAATGGAGTGTGGTTATTTGACATACTCCAGCTGTGGAACTCTTTCCCTCTAGCAATTTAGTTCCCCTCCCCTGCCATATGTTTGTAGAAAAGTTTTTAATATGGTATGTCCTGGACTGTGAACTATTTCTGGGTTATCAGTGGCTGTTTGAAATGATAGAGGTAAGACCTCCTTTTGTGGTGTTTGGTTTTTTATTTTTGGTGACATGCTGATCTCCAATTTGGTTGCATTCAGTCTTGTGTAAAAAATACGCATTACAATGCAAGCAGAAGCTGAAGAAAATCATGTGGGTGATTTTAATAGCTTTATGCGAAGAATCCTACTATTTCGCAAAGAAAGTACAAAATTGGTGGTCTGGGATATCATAAACAAATTCTTGTAGAGCTCTCAGTTTGCAAACTCAAAGTTAAATGATTGCACTTTATAACATGCATATTTCTTTGTGGTATTTGTATTTAGCCAGTGGAATTTGCCACAACAACTGCCATTGAGCCAGGCTTTAAATTAGGCTTTCAGATAAGAGGGGGTTTTAAATAAGGACAACAAAGTTATGCATAGTTAAAATAGATGTCAGGGAAGGATCAGGAGGCATGGAAGCCTCATGGTTTAGAACTTAGGCCAAGAATTTTGAGCTAACTGCTGTTTATTACAAATTTTCTTGCTCCTTTCTCAAAGGCATCAAGTCCAGATCACTGTTGGCAGCCCGAAGAATCAAAGTTGTGATTCACTACTGCAAATCCCAGGCACTCTCCTTCAACTGAGGTCTGCAATGGGCAACTTCCTAAAATTAACTTTTATTCAGTTATATTTTGCAACTATGCAAAGGCTGTAGAATTGCCAGGCTTCTGGTTATTATGAGGCTTGTCTATCTAAAATTACTTTTCATCTTCAATTGTAGATTCTCTCATGAATTGACACTTATTTTTATACCCATTTTGCAGTGCTACAGTTCCTGAGCTTTAAGACATATATTTTGCTATGGTTCAATCTAATCTTGGACGATGACATGTTGGGCTGATAACAACTCCTGGTGTATTTTATGGGCATTGCTCTCTTAAACAAAATCACATCAGATACAGACTATAGAGTTGTCTGAGAGGTCAGCAGTTATAGTAGGTGTGTATAATTTTACACACATTTAGCTAATTTTGTAGAAAGAGCTAATTTTTGGCACCCAAGAAGGTTGTTTTTATTCACCTGGCATGCTTCCATTCAAATACCCATTTAATGTGGTCACCAACTATAGAAATAGTTAAACAGTACTGTAAATGGACATGTTCTCTTTGTTGGGATGATTGCTGACACACTGAATTCTTTTCATTAAGTAATTTGACCACAAGCATCTCTTTACTTTGAAAAAAGGAGGAAAAATCTCTAGCAAACACGCTTCCTTTCAGTTTTCATATTTGCAGTGTTTATATAGGGGGATATAATTAGAATTTCAGGATAAATTGCACAAGGTATTGGAAGAAAATCAAGACTAAAATAAACATTTAATTCCTTTTTTTTTTTTTGGATTTGACCATTGCACACAAACATTTGGTTATAAATAGATACCTCATCCATGTTGGAGTAACATTTTACATTCAAAGTAGGATTCTGGAAAAGAAAATCCTTTTCCAAGTGATCTGAAGCAAACATGCAATTTGAAACCTTTGGTTAGTTTATGAATCTTTACTACAATTGGATTACATTTATATGCTCTGTAGTAAGTACCAAAAAGCCCTCTGAAGTGAAATATGTTCCAGTGGAATAATCCTTACTGAGAGAACTTGCAACTGCAGTTGTTTTTGTCTCTTGTGATAAGTTTGCATTAGCAGGGTATTGTGTACTATTGGTATACACAGTAGCTGCTGTCCCAAGAATAAATGCCAATGGCATGTACACTGCCAACCTGACAGACGTAAATCAGCTAATCAATTTGATGGTAGCACTTACCTTACATGGAAGAAGTGGGAGCACTCATTTTCTGCGGAGAACACTACACCATTCTGCGTCTACCATCCTTATACATAATTTGCTACTCAGTGTGGAAATTGCTGGAAAATATATTCCTTGTGAAGTGAATCTTGAAGAATGTTAGTGCCTCTCTAAAGATCTGTTAACCATGAAAATGTAGGCACACACATGTACAAGATTCCTAGGAATTAATACTTATCTTCATCTACAGGGAAGAGTCAGTGCAGCGCAGAAGACAGTAAGATAAAGTTTTCAGCTGGTGTTATCAAGCTGTACTTTTTAAGAGTAGTGCTTTCTGCCTGGATGATCAAGTCCACTAGATTCATTTCTTATATGAAGCACAGCAGGTTTCTGTAAGTGCTGTCTGACTCTCATCATTGTACATATGCACCTTCCATTTATTGAGAAAGAGTAGAAAATACCTTTATTTAGTAATTTGCTGGTTTGAGCCAAGAAAATCAAAGCTGGATTTGACACCCATGAAACCAAATAGGAAGAAATTACTCAAAGCAGTAAATGCTAGGAGGTGCTAGTTTAATTCTAATCAATTAGACCTTGCTCTGCTGTCACTGTGTAAGGAGTGAGAAACTCAGCCCAGTTTTGAGATGTAGAAGGAATCTATAGAAATTTCTATGAGAGATCTCCCTAGGGCACACTGAAACAGTACTCCTTGGAGTTGCACCCACTGTACACAGCTGCCCTAGAAGTGAGCACACCTAACTTTTCATCATCAGTGCTGTTAATGTGGGGGAAATGATTCATAAACAAAATTAATTAAAAGTCCAGGACAGCTAGGTTTGGCTTCAATATTTGTTTGTTTGAATCCAAAAAGTGTAGTCTTCTGGGAGCCAAGAACCTGAGATTAGCATCTTCAGTGTCATTTTACAGCACAAACAAACCTGACCCTTTAAGTGGACTTCTTTTGGTTTCTTCCTGATTTAGCATACTTAAAATATATTAATTTTTCCTTAGGTGATCACTGCTTTCCTTTCAGTGAAAGCACAAACTGAGTACTATGCAAGCCTGACAGTCTGATTTTCTGATGGGCAGCTTACATTCTTTAACTGCACTTAAAGGAAAAATGACTCCTCATTGAACTGGATAGTTTCCCTCTGTCTTTTAGAGCTGACAATTTATCACTATAAAGGTGCAGCTTTTACGCTATTCAGATTATTGCAAAATATTTTAGAGCAGCTCAGGCTATGGTTCTTGGAAGAAGGTAGGCCTTTCTGTAGACACTTTCCTGTCTACTTTTTCAATTCTTAATAGTTCCCCCACTTGACCAAGCATAATTTTCAGTCATGGTTGGTTGATAAGGGAAGAGCAACTGGTGTCAGCTGCCTGGACTTGTGCAAAGCATTTGATACTGTCCCACACGACCTCCTTGTCTCTAAACTGGAGAGACATGGATTTGATGAATGGACCACAGAATGGATAAGGAATTGGCTGCATGGTTGCACTCAAAGGGCTGTGGTCAATGGCTTCAAGTTCAGTGCTCATGGAGAGCAGTGACAAGAGGTGTTCCTCAGGGGTCGGTCTTGGGACTGGCACTTTCTCATGTTTTTGTCTGTGACAAGGACAGAGGAATTTTAGTGTGCTCTGAGACAGTTTGC